CTGAAGATAACATTGAAGGTTGCTCATTTGATCAAAGATTAGGTACTAAATGAATATTTCTCATAATATTTTCGTTCCTATAATTTACTCAATTCAATGAAAATCTGATCTTTTGATCATTTGATTGAAGATTACATAATGAATGAATATTTTTCAGTATAGTTTTGCTCATCTACTCTGCTTTCTTCGAAGCTAGGTTTATTCGTTGATGATCTCATCGAAGGGTACATGACAATGTCATATTTCTAATAGTAATTGTATTCATCTATCTTGATTACTGCGGAGGAAAGATTCTGTTGTGATGGATTGATGACATCATACATAGTTCATGATCAATGGTATGTCAATCGTTTTATTCGACTAATTCGTTTAGTTTGAAGAAAAGATTATAGCTGGCTTGCTGATTAATGATGACATATTAAACGAGTAAGAAGAATTACGAGAATGTTCATCTAGTTTTTTTTTTTAATCTTCAAGTTATAGTCTCTAAAATACTCAGCTGATCAGAGGTGATACAGCAGATGAATAGTATCAATTGCAATGGGCAAGATTCTTTCCTTTGATCTTGTTCGTCATTCATCTTTGAGTTCATGTTCGTTTGTTTATCAAATACTACACGAAGAGAGAATACTTATAACGACGGAGACATGCATCACTGCCAAGATAGTGGACAATTATGTCGCTGATGATTATGCAAAGGTCGCTTTTTTGTTCACTCAAATGAAGATTACATAGAAAGTAAATTATTACAATAAAAATATTCTTTATATATGTTTCGGACTTAGAAGAAAAGGTCTTCAGCTGTGAACATACTTAATTAGCAGATGATAAACGATGAATTACGATCGAGTTTTTTTCTCAGAAGATGCTGAAGTATTTTGATGTTTTTCTAAATGAAGAAAGTATATTTCTTTCCACTAATTCATAAAAAGGAAGTTGTTTTTTGTTTTAATTTTATTTGATAGATCCTCTCTGAGAACTCATGAAAGTTTATTTAACTAGTGAAGTTTTCTTATCAACAATAGTTTAATTTTATTTGGACTACTCTGAAAAGAGTGGTATGGAAAAGTCCCAAGCTAAATATTGTTAGTAAGGGCTTTTGAATTATCATGAGTTACTACTTTTCTTGACAATTTGAAAAGCAAAAGATGTTTCCAAAACTCTAGGATTTGTAGGAAAAAATCTGCTTTCTGAAGTAGGTTCAGGACTAGAGGAATAATTTAAACTATTACAGTGATTAATCATCTTACCAAAAAGTATATAAAATTTATAATGATAGCATGCGAACTGACCTTCAGCACATTCTTAAAATATCCATTCTTCTAGAGAAATCTCTTTTTTAAAATATGGAAACGATAGAATATAATAACAAAGTAAAAACGAATTAAAGTAATTCTTTCTTATAAAGGAATTAAATATGATTTTCCTAAGCTACGATTCACTGATGCTCAGATCAGTTTTGTTGATTCGAAAATTACAGTACACTTCAGCTTCTTTTGCTCAAATTGAATAACAAAAGCAAATAATGAAAAGAAAAATATTGGGCGTGTCAGAATAAGATATTCATGTTAGACATAGATTATTAGCTTTCTGGCAAAAAAATATAATAAGTTTGCTTGCCGGAATAAAACAATAATATTTATTCAAATCGCTACGAATATAAAGTATTCTAACTGCTGTTTATTGCACAAAAGAATGCACTTATGCAACGATCATTAGTATACATCAAATTATCGTCATCATTGTGAACTGTTTTTGTGTTATAAACGGAAAAAAACTAAAAAAAAAAGATGTGCAAGTGCATTTCGGAAGCACTTAAATATACAGGTTACTGTATTCAACGGCACGATGTACACTGGTCATTTTTCTATGTTCAGATATCAACGAACATGTCCAAATAAATCTCTAATTCATGTTATTACGTAGATGCCATTTAAATGCATAATCTAATTTTTTCCAGCAACGTAGATTAGACGATTCCACAAAATTTATTCACGCCGCTCTGTGTCTAACTCAATTGCAGCTAGTTACTTTGATCATTTCATGTTTTCATCGAATTCTTTAACTGTTTATTTGAGTTTTCCAACTGTTGTTCAGTGAAATCTTTCGATGCTATTAGCTGGATCACTTCTTGTAAAAAATTTTCAAACTGATTCTTCATATCAATTCGTTTGCTATTCAGTATTTGGATAATCTGTTGTCGAGCTTGTTCAACACCCTGTTTCACTTTTTTGATAGTTACTTTTTCTCATGCATTATTTTAACACAAAAGAGGATGATGAGCGTCTTTTTTGTTGGGTTATCTAAATTATTTTGTCATGAAGTTCATTTAGATTTTAGACAAAACTATCAGATTTGTTAGTAAATGTTTTGAGATGACTGTTAAAGTCCTTCTTGCAAAAGTAGTTATTACAATCTGTACAAAAGAAGATACCTGTTTCTTTTTCACACGTTACACTTGCTTGTGATGTAGCCATATCTGCAAGCAAAGGGTAGCAAAGTTTATTGATTTTATAAAAGGTTGCAATGGAGTATTAACATACCTTATGTCATCCCGTAATTAATATTTATAACTTGATATTGATTCTTTAAAAGCAAACAACATAATGAAAAAAATGTTGAAGAAAAAACTCTCGAAAAATCTTCATTACCAGTGCCCTATACATAATCAATTAACAAGAAAAAACAAAACGTTAGATTCTTTGAGACTGATACGAAAAAGAACTAAATCTTTATTTAACTACCACTCTTATCGTCATATATCTTTTTTTCGTATTACTATTAAAAAGCTGTTAGCGTAATCCTGATGTGATTAAAATGTTAAACACGAAATCAATGGTGTTACCAATAGAAAGATGTGTTTAACAAATTGAGCTGAGTGAGTACTGTAGTATATACTCGATACTCTCTTTGATTCTTCAGTAAAAAATAAATAAATAGTTATATAGATCTTTTTAATTTGTCTAGAAAGTCACGAATTCTTATTTTTAGCATTTTATGTATATACAGTAATTTAATTTGTTTTTCTTGTATATTATTGTGTGTTTAGTCAATAGTTTTAAATTTAATGTTCTATGGAATATCACATTGCGATAAGAAGTATCAATATTTTTCATTCTTTTCCTTGCTAATTAATTATTAATATTAAATTTAATAAAAGAAGGGAATTTATTCATGTGAAAGATCGAATCGCGTCTGGGTAACTAATTCTCAATTGTTTTATCGATCTGAAAAATTGACTTTTTGTACTGTCCTCTCTTTACTTACTTGTGAGAAAGAGAATGACGAAATGAATGTGTCAGTACTTGTTTTTGTTGAGTGAATGAGAAAAAAATAAGCAGGTTTTTTTCGTTTTTCTTTCACTATTGCTTGTACGAGAGTATAGGTATATGCGTTATGTGTTCTATCAATATAGTATACAGAACGCAAAATTGACACTGTATAAATTATAGAACATCAATCTATTCGTGAAGAACAATACAAAAACAGCAGCATCTACGAAAAAACAACGTTGGCATTGTAAACGTAAGTGATAATAAATCAATTATTAAAATAAACAATCCGATGCAACGTTATCATCGATGTCAAAAGTAGAGTGCAAGTAATTAGGTGAATAGCATATGTATTCGAACAAATATTTTGCAACTTGTAGAAGCTACCAATTCGAATTAAATAGTCATTTATTCATCAATATTTGTTTGCTTTAAAATATTTTATTGTACTGCGAATCTTAATTATTAACATGTAAGAAAAACAAATAGATTTAAAAAAAGATCATCTCAACATGAGATTTAGAAGTTTAAATGAACTAATTCGATTACAGCGCTTGCAAATATAGATTTTTCCATAAATATTCTTTTTTGTTTTATCTTGAACAAGTCATCAGCTATCCTTTTATTGCTCGAAAATCAAGATATGCTCAAATCAAAAAACAAGAATCTTGTATCGACTATGACTCCTATTCAGTATATATTTACCAATATGCCAACTTTTTATGGTCTGTTTTAACATGACCTATAGGCGCTTGTCAAGCGAAAACAGGTTGACTTTTTCTCTTGGTTTTAATTCTACATAAGCAAATATAAAACATTGACACGACGACTATGTATTTCGCGTCAAAACATCTAAATTACTTGGAGAACAAGTATGAACGTCGAGAAGTTCTTGATATCCCAATCCTTTGATTGGTTGAAGCATTAACACTATGTTGGAGAAGTTTATAGTGTCTTCTCAAATAGTTTCGTATGTATTTATAGAATTTTAAAAAAGATAAACTTGATCGAGCTATCTTTCGACTGAATCCTTTCATGTGATATTTGAGCCAAAGCATTTGACTGAAGATGAATTAGCCCAACTCTGATGACTTTCATATACTAGCTTTAAACTTAGTCAAACGCTTTGATTGGGATTAATAACCAGCTAGAAAAGCTTTCATTATATAATGATTGATTTTTTTGTTTGGCGTTTGCAATGGATTTCATTATTTCTATAAATTTTATGTACGCTGTGGTAAAGAACTGTTTTCCTTGTACTTGTCACTGGCTATGACAATTGTTGATCTTAGCCAGTACGTTCGATTAACATACTTAGCATAACTCGAAGCTGAAATTGATCAGAATTGGTTATTAGAGAATTATTAATTTGGAACATGTGTCAAAGAATTTAATAATGTGAGATCTAGTTTTTTTTAGATCAGTTACAATCAATTTCAATTTCTAACGATTCTTACCAATTTTAATTTAATCTTAGTCAACTCTACTCATATTTTGAGTGAAGATTCAATCATTGTTGAAAATGATCCAAGCAATTGTGGAAAAAAAAACTCACATTCACATCCACACCTAATTGAAAATAGAAGATATTACAAGGGTGGAGATGTTGATCAAGAGAAGATGCCCATTTTCTATTTTTTTTCTTTAAAGATTTTATTCTCTGGTCTCAAGATTATTGATAAGATTTTACAAAATCATATTCCATATGTATCAGATTTGTGAATAATGTCATGGATGAGCAAGAGGACACACTTCAGATTCAGACAATTCGCGGTTATAGACATAAAATTCATCAATTGCGCCTGAATACGCGCCCATTACAATCTGGCCCGTTTGGCAGTTAGTTCCTAATCCACTATTGCCTAGGAACACACACATTGAAGTACCTCCAGCTGCGAACATTGAGACCGTTTTCGACCCATATAGTCCTCCGTTGATATATAATCGTAATCCATTGACCCCACTCCATGTTTGCACGATATGAGTCCATGCATTTATCGGCGGAATAGGTCCAATTACAGCAAAAGCATTATTGTTCCAAGTTTGACTCACAATCGATCCATTTGAACTGAATCCAATCATTGGCAGACACCAGCTACCTGAGCCTGTAGCTGCTGTCGATAAGTGAACGAGTGTACCAACTGGAAACGATGGATTAATCCATAAAGCAATAGAATAAGCTTGGTTCTGACCCAAAGCCCAAAACCCACATGACTGAAAATAGGAGTTTGTTTTATTGAAACTGATTGCTTGATTAACTTTACCCGTCATCCAGCTAATGCCACTGTTATCTTGTACAGTAGTCGTACCAGTAATTGTATTGGGTCCAATATCCACAGTAGAACTGTCAAATGGAAAATGAGCGACAAGTGATGCATCGTTAAGAATTTCGCACGATGTTTTAGCTCGATTCGTAACTGTTATTTGGTCGAGCAATCCATCGAACCAGTACCCCTCAGGTATTCCTGTTTTGCCGACTACACAATAAAAATTTAGATTAGGATTAAGAAAACAAACATCTGACAACTTACTGGTAACATTAGCATTTTGACCAATGTAAGATGAGATGGCTACCCTACTTCCTTCTGATAGTCCATCCAAATATATTGACTGATTATTGGCTACAACATCATAAACATAAGCTATATGATACCAAAGGCCAGTAGTAAGATTTGTTACACCGAAGAGGTCGTCCGCGTAGAAGCCCATGTATACTTTGTAGTTGCGAATGGTGTAATGAAGACATCGATCAAGTGAACGATCTTGACACTCGCCAAAAAAGTTTGCATCCGACACGTTCAATGTGTATAAATAGATCCACATTTCCACTGTGAAACTTTTCGAAGTAAAATCAATATTTGGTACAACAACATACTGAGATAAAGAACCGACAAGAAGAAGTGCTTGACCTACATAGCCTGTCGAAAATGCAGCTCCATTTACAATGATTCCATCATATCCATTACTCGATACATCTTTTGTATTTTCTTCGAATGTCCATGATGCAATCAGTGTCGATGGGGTTACTGTAGTTACATTTATGCATGTGCTCGAACACGGTGTACCATAATTACTTGGAATCCAAGCTGTAGCTGGAGGGGTAGTGCTTGTCGTAGTAGTAGTAGTAGTAGTAGTTGTTGTTGTTGTGGTTGTGGTTGTTGTGGTTGTTGTTGTTGTTGTTGTTGTTGTTGTTGTTGTGGTTGTTGTTGTGGTTGTGGTTGTGGTTGTGGTTGTGGTTGTGGTTGTTGTGGTTGTTGTTGTTGTTGTGGTTGTGGTGGTGGTTGTTGTTGTCGTGGTTGTCGTGGTTGTTGTTGTTGTTGTTGTTGTTGTTGTTGTTGTCGTGGTTGTTGTTGTTGTTGCTGTTGTCATGGCTGTTGTTGTTGTTAATGTTGAAACATCGTACCTGTTAGCCAGACCATAAACAAGTCCTAATGAAAGAGCAATTACCAAAGCAAATAGAAGAAAGAGAAGTGTAGCAATAACAATTGAACGACAGCGAATCGAGCATATTTGGCGCCCAGTTCTATTTAGAAAGAAGAAAGTGATTCAGACAACAGCAAAAATGATTATAACATACTTGCTGATGAAAGATATTCTTGAAACCTGTTTTAACTCGATGATTGGAGCCTGAATCTCATCTTCATGGCTTGACCATGCTTGCGAACTTAGTTTCGTATCTGATAAGGATGTGACGGTGGGTTCTTTCGAACGTGGAAATATTTTATTTCTTTTTGCAAGCGTATGAAAGCGTGGATCAATGATTTGTTCTAAGTGTTCACTATTGTTCATTTCTATTTCAAACAAAGGCTTCTATTGTGAAGTAAACAAAATATTTTTGACTTAAATGAACATTTCAAAAAAAAATACCATTATTTTGCCATGCTTTGGTTGAGACGAACTAGAGGTCTCTTTGACTTGAACTGGTGTAGCGAGACGAGAAGTGGGAAGTTGGCTCAATGGAACCAGTTCGAATGAAGACTGTAAGAAAAAAAAGAAAGCATTTATTATGAAACATGCATCTAACTCTATATTTTTACGCGCGTATCACTTGGATGAACGTCATCTGTCCATAGATAAGACGAGTAAATGGTTGAATTCGCCATCATCTATTTTTTTGGCGACCTTGCAATCTGTTTACAACCTACAAATGAAAATGGCATAGTATTTGGTTTCTTTATTCTTTCTTTTTTTTTATTTTTTAATTAAATTTTATTCGAGAGAATTCTGCTTATATCTAGGTGCTGACGTATGTTACATTTCTATACTTGCAGATTCCGTAGAAATATTATGTTAATTTCATTTCAATATATTTGTACAACACGTTTCGCGATACCAGAATTCGTACATCTGCTCTCTGATTTGGCTATACCTTTTCTGTAACATTTTGCAATTTTTATTTCGAAATAGTCGAGTGTTGGTTCTTCCTTTCTCCAATTTTCAAAAACAACGATGTGGATGTGGGTGTGAACATTTATTTCTCTACTTCTACTTCCATACCCTAAATTTAACATTGAACTATATTTTAGAATTATTTTCTAGAATTTTTGAATCAATATGATTAAAATCAATACAATGTACCAAAATGAAACAGCTATGTATATAAATATTTCTGATATATTCAGATTATCCCGTTATGATTAAACCAAAGTTCATTTTAAAATGTTGATAATAGTCATTTAAAATCGATTATATTTTGGGTTGGGTGTGGTTCAAGAGAAGACTAACATTCACACCAAAAACATCAGCACTAAAAAGAAAAATCTTCTTCATATCAATTCAATTCGTAACATTTCGATTTCTATCAAATATATTTTAATTAAAATGATATTTAAATGAAAATCTTTTTCTTGTAGACTTTTCTTTCAAATATATATCATGTAGAGATGAATGATATTTATTAAATAATTGACGAGCAATCATTATTGAACCACCTATTGATGAAAAACAAAAATAATTTTCTCAAATAGATTTGAAAAATCATATACCTTTTGTAGCAGTTGTATATTTTTTAATATCCAACATAAAAAATGGTAATTCAGCTTCAATAAATAAACGTTTATTCAAAACATTTGAATCTATTGGATGGTCCTAAAATGATTTTATATTATTAAAAATAATTAAAACAATATAATACTTCAATAAGACTTTTAATAGCAACATCAAAGAAAACATTCCATCGTTGAGCATAGGGTGTGGGTGTGGGTGTGAGTGATTGAAGAAAAATAATCAAAATCCACACTCTAGTAATGAGAAGCAGTTTGATCTTCATTTTATGTTATAGATCAAAGTGGAACATGTTTGTGATGAGAAAGACTTTTTTTTCTTTCGATGAAAAGAAATATAGCCTATTGCACTGGTGAATACATTCACAACAGCAATTATGTGCTTAACGATATCACCTAAAATTATCATCGTCATCGTCATGACGATACTGCCAATGTAAATACAGGGTGATTGAAAAGTAACTAGCTATTTTAAATTCTTTATTACTCTCATACAACAAAAGATATCGTCCTGATTTTTTCACCATCTTGAAGCATGGGCTATGCCATTTTGTTCTAGATGAAATAAGTCGATTGATTATCTGACTGTCTAAGATGAAGCACGAAGTTAGTTTAAAATACATGAAAATGACTTTTTATTTTGAATCTATTACCAAAGTATCTTTGTAGTAATAGCTACAAGTTCGATTACAAAAATGTATCGACAACAAAGGAGGTTATGTGGAATTTTGAG